TTCTCCCCTCCCGGTCAGTAGAGGAGGCTTACATATAGCCTATATGCAGCTCCACTTAGGAAATAAAATCTTACATTAACTCTAGGGTGTAATCTCGGGTGAGCAAAGATAGGAAACCAGAATATTCTAATGATTTCCAGTGGTTTCTTTCCTTCCATGGCTGGGAACATGAGGCCAACTACTCCTACGATAGTTGTTGCAGAAAACAAACGTGGTTCTTCAATTTCTTCCTTTTAATTTTATCTTCAATCAGCTTCCTTATTTTAGTGTCTTTTCCATTTGGTCCTTGGTCCAAAAAAGAGCTTCAAATTGGCCGTCTTTAAACTTTAAGCATCTTGCCATTATGTCCCTGCAAACTCAAGCAAAATCCTTCTCACGGCAGGAATCCTTGCTTTCACATTAGATATTCAAACGGGAATATCTTGAGCTTCTGATATCGAAATCAAGCGATTCAAAAGTCCAATTTTATCAACGCGTTTAGGACTACAACTTTGATGATTAGTCGAAGTGAGATAAAATCGTTTTAAAGAACAGAATCTAGGAGTAATTTAGTCAGTCAAAAGGGTCTCCTGATCTAATTCAAAAACTGAAAAATACTGAGAATCCTGATATGATTGAGAGTATGATCTAAGAACAAATCAACAAAATTTATGACAGAAATAGAGTTTTTTTTAGTGCAAAAGTCGGGGCAGGATCCTTCTCGCTACAGAATTCTCTACCTCCACATTAGATATTCAGGCGGGAATATCTTGAGCTTCTGATATTGAAATCAAGTGATTCAAAAGACCAGATTTATCTACGTGTCTAGGACTACAACTTTGATGAAGGAGTTGAAGTGAAATAAAATCATTTTAGAGAATGGATTCTAGCAGTAATCTGTTTGTTCAAAAAGGTTCTTGATCTGATTATGCTGAGCATCTAAATCTAAGTGAGAATCTTCCCTAAGAAAAATGATTTCTAGGACCTAATAAAGGTATAGGTCAATCTTTCAACATGTCATGAGTGACAAAATATAGCTAGGATGGCAAGATATCATATAAAGCCAAGTCAAATTCAAAGCCTAAGTTGGAATAAAAAATTGCGACAGCAACAAAACCATTGTTTTAGTGTAAATTCTGAAGGATTTATTCAACCTTAAAGACTAGATAAACAAGGAACAAATTTAGCATTATGAAAACTCCTGATCAACCTGACAATTTTGGTACAAAACGGAAGGATAAAAAGAGTCGAAAAAAGCTCAAACAAGGTTTTCAAAAAAAATATTTCTCTCTGCTTTTGTCAATCTTTTGGCGAACATGAGCTAAACTCCTACACTCAGTTCAAAAGACGTATACACCATCTCCAACACATGGGGTCCAAAATTGAGTAACAATAGTGCCTCTGCACGGGGAAGAAGAAGAAAAGACAGTAGCGCCACCGCTTGTCGCCACCTAGCGCCAACGTGAGCAATCATCATAGACAACAACCTCGATCCCTCATTCCATGTAATCTTCTCCCCTTCTCTACTATCCTCCTTTACATGCAGAACATGAGCAATTCATGTTCTGCAGCGAAGGAAATATAATTAAAAGCATAGGAACTAGCTAATTATAATTTTCGGGTTACAATGCTCAGAATAGTAACCAACCATTTGTTCCCTGGACAGCCTAGGCCACATGTCTAGGCCGAGTCCAGCCTTGTAGAAAGAAGGTTTTCCTTTTTGGGCCAATTTTGGCCTGATTTATGTTTTAGGCCGATCTCAGCCTACTTTCCATTTTGGTCAGGTCTAGCCCACCCCAATTAAAAAAAAATGAAAGAATTGTGATTTTTCTTACATATTTTTCTATTGAATCTTGTTTAATATTGATTTGTATTTTATACTGTAAAGATACAAATCTGGTCTTAAAATACCTGGTTTTCGTCAAAACAAAAGTAAAAAAAAAAAATGTGTCTTGCTTTCTTGCATACGGCCGAATTTCTCAAAGATAAAATCAAAAAATTATATTGTATTTTCATACAAAAAAGGGTTTTAGCATGCCTTTTGACTTTAATAACCATGAGAACTAAGCCAATATTTTAAAAATTCCAAAAAAAATTATTTTGTTTTCTTTTAGTATCTGGGGTTATGACCTTATACGTAAAGCATATTTTGGATTTTAAATTCTCTTGTTAACATTAGAATAGTTAGGTTTTACCCGATAAGATAAGGATCTCTTTACCGAGAAGGGCTTTTCTTAAACCATAGACTGACTAATAACTAGAAAACACGACAACACCTTAGATTTTATAAGATAATAAAACAATCCAGCTTACCTTAGGTAAGGCGTATTTAGGGTGCTATATATTCCCTTTACACAACTAGTTCTTTTACCTGATCTCTGAGACTAATTATGGTTCCTAGTTATCAAAATACTAGTTAGTTACTATAACAATCCGACTATACGACTTAATCAATGTTAAAAGATCTCAACATATTCTCTTAATTTGACTATTTGTTTTTCACTTTACCAAAACTTAGGCAAAGTTTCATTTGTATTTTGGACATCCCAAGTTATAGACTACTATCAATGTACTCAATCAACTCATCATCATAAGGTCCCATAATCTCGGACCTTATATCAAACATCACAATTCAACACCTCATACAATCCATGTCGCTCCACGACGTCGGGCGACGACTCCACTCCTTTTTTTGTTTGTTTTTAAAAAAAAAACAAAAGGAATTTAATTTTTTATTTGATTAGGGGGGAATAAAGATTTTATTTGGAGTCGCCATCTAGTAATTTGAGGAAACTAGAAATCCAAAATTAGACACTGGTCCCAGAGATTTGGGTACTGGGTTAGTTATGATTAAGGGAAGGTAGGCACCACCCTTAAAACATCCTTTCAGAGAAAGGTTACCTTTAACTTGTGTGTTTTTCTTATCTAATTCAAATGCTATTATATTTTGAGCTTATTTGTAAAATTTTTAACATGGTTAACGTCGGTCCCTAAAAATAGGAGACGTGTTAAAAATGACATCAGTCCCTAAAATTAAGAGACTTTGTCTAAAATGTCGACGTTTATCCCTAAAAAGGAGAGTTACGTCTGATTTACCAAAATAAATAATAATGGACATAATTCATATTTGGTATTTAAATTTTTGACATCGGTCCTTTTCTATAAATAAAAGAGACATGTCGACAAATAATATTTATTTTATAAAATAAAAATTATTTTGATATCATTCACAAACAGATATATCAATTCTTGAAAATTGGGCTTTTGACCCATAAACAGTGATATGATAAAAATGGGTGTTGAACCCGCGTTGTTATTTATTTTTGTTTATTTTTTGTTTTTTTTCACATGCAAAAATTTACAAGTATTTATATATAAAAATATCATAAAATATCATAGAAAATTACCTGAGTACCCCTGTATAGGTAAAAGACTGAAATCCCCTCGGATTTATCGAAAATTTATGAAAATGCCACTAGCGGCGCGTGTGGCTCACGCGCGGTAACTGTTGACGCGCGATTACTGTTCACGCGCGAAATTTTCCGACGAGTTTCCGGCCAAAAGATAGGCGATTCTGGTAGATCTGAGGACGAGGATTCTGATGGTGGTGGTCTCGTTGGCCGTTGATGGCTGAGGAGGGAGAATCGACGACTTGAAGGTCGATTGGTCGATGTCGGTCGCAGCCTTTTTCCAGCCAAATTAGCCGGTGAAAAAGTGTGAAACAGAAAGGGTTTTGCTCAGGGGGAGGCTATGCACAATTATGTGGTGGTTTCACGGCTTGAGACGGCCGGAAATGGGAGATCGGCGGAGAGAGAGAGAATCGCCGGCGAGAGGAGAGAGAAGCTCTGGGTTTTGATCTGGTGTGGACGAGTGTATGGTGCACTCGTGTGTCTAAAGGCTGTGAACCGCTGTATCTTGGATGAACAGATCGTGCGGCTGTGATTCGTTTGATCTTCAAGTTGATCGGACGGTCAGGATTGAATGGTCTACGATCGGGTGTGGCGCGGTGTATTGAGTGCTCGGTATACCTGCTGACGTGCCGCAACCAGATCGAAGGGCAGATTATGTGAACGACTGAGATTGATTTGGGTTTTAATCTGGTGTGGCAAAGCCTATTGTATCCTAAGAAATCAAAGGCTCAGATCTAAATACTATTAGATCTAGCGGTTGGGATATTTTTGGTATTTTTCAATTTATTAAAAAAAAATTTAATATCTTACTAGGGTACATAAAAAATATAAGAAAAATGAATAGTACCCAACCCAAACAGTAATTCCGAATTCACAATTGAAAATGCAGAACGAATTTTTTATCTTTCTTTTTTTTTTTCTCCCTTGTGTCTTGAATTCATTGGCTATTTATAGCCAATGAATTCAGACAACAATTCACGGATCGTTAAGATTTTCAACTTCCACCGATTACTATTTGTCTTATTATATATAATAATACTAAATAATAATAATATTTATTTATAGGGGTAAAAATTAAAAATTCAAATCAGTATTATAAAAAGTTTTTCATTCGCTAAAAATTAATTTTAAATTACAAAAAAAACTTTTTTATACGGGTATCAACTCGGTCGACCGGGTTTTTTGACCAAAAATACAAGTTTTGACCCGAAATACCCCGAAACTCATTTTTCATCCCGGTCGACATGGTGGGACCCGTATTGACCCTGTGGACTCGGTTTTGATCGAAAATGACGGTTTTGACCCGAAACGTCCTGAAACTCATTTTTCATCCCGATCGACATCGTTTAACCCATATTGACCTGGTGGACTTGGTTTTGACAGAAAATGACGGTTGACTCGAGAAAATATATTTTAAACTCTTTTTTTTTCTTTTTTTTTATTATATTTTTTTGTCATGAATAATAAGATAAAATAACATTCCAAAAAATTTTAGTGAATCCAAAATTGGGTTACAACAATCCACACAATATATTTATCCTACAAGTAAGTTCAATATGAACATAGTCGACATATCATATCATAAAATTTAAAAGAAAAGGAAAACTAAGATGCAAAGAAAGCAATTACAACATAATAAGTGTTCTTAAACATTTCAAAAGGGTTAATTACAAGATAACTAAAATACTACATGCTAAGCTTAAGTTTTATAAATACATCAAGGTTTACACAAAAGTATACTACATAAATGCGTTAATTCCCTTTTGTTTAAGTTAAATATATGTACATAAGTTTGACAAAGTAGAGTCCTAAACTAATAATCTCCCTGGATATTTGATAGACCTATTACATAAATAAACATACCATTATATTGATAAAGAAATATATATATATATATATATATATTTTCATGTAATGTATACACATAAAGTATTAATTTTCTATCGGGTCCATAGTTATTCTAACAAAGAACTTATATTTTGCTTATAAATCTTTTAAACCCAATTAACACTCATTTGAATACTCTTAATTTGAATACTCTTATTTACTTGCATGAACTAGTGACCTTGCAATGTTTAATCTTGTAATTTATTTCCCGACAATTCTATCATAGATATCATTAGCCAAAGCTCATCTTGTAAATCATGTTTTGGTAATCCTATCATGGACGCCATTAGTCGAAGCTAATCTTGTAATTCATCTCTCGGCAATCCTATCACACATTCCATTAGCCGAAGCTAGTTCATCTCTCAGCAATCCTTTAATGGATGCCATTAGCCGAAGGTAATCTAATAAATATGCTAGACTTTATTTACACTGAATATGATATTTATTGTAATTATATTCACCAGAAGAACTTCAAATTGTTTAAGTGTAAATAGGAGGAAAATCACGCACTTGCTTTGCCTGTCTCGTGACCTCCCCTAACAGAAGATCCAATCTTGGTTACTCCTCCTAAATCACAAGGAAGTTTTTGGTTATGATTCCTTTAAGCTGATATTATAGAAAATCTATATTTATCCATTACTCATATGTTACTTTCGATGCATGTTCATTTCCTCATATTAACATACACACATATATCATGTATATTTTCAGAGTTAATATCTCAATGTGCAAGTGTTCATATGACTCAATTCTTTTATATTCTTATATATAGTATTCACGTGAAAGTCTATTATTATTGTCTTATTGTTATTGTCTAGATATTAAACTATTACTATCCAACCGTTACTGTCAAGATATTGAACTGTTACTGTCCAACTATTACTATCTAGACATTGAATTATTACTGCCCAACTATTACTGTCTAAACACTCATTAGATTTTTAATTATACCTAGAGTTCTAGAACTCCATTTTAAGTGAGATTGATCTTGTTAGAAAGTTAGGACACGAGGCTACAAGTTCTCTGAAGGAAGGAGAACCCAATTGTGCCTCCAAGGTAGTCAAAATTGTTCATCAACTAATCAATCCTACTGCCCTATAGAATCAATCATGACTCAGTCTTGGTTGATAACCTATAATTGAAGTTCTACATCTTTAAATTAAGCAAGACAAGTTTCCTTGTTAGCTAACATCCAAATCTACAATTTTTATGAAAGAACCTAATTCTAATTCCCTCATCCTCCTACCCGAAATCTCACCAAAAGTCAGGAGACGAGTCTGTCCAGATTCATCACCCCTTTCCCTTTATACAATACTTTTATAAACTATATACCACACATGAATTAACTTAAATTTAACAACAAATACTTTTTTCCCCAATTCATGTCTAAGAACCCTAACCTATAATTCAATATCAAGGCATCAATTCATTATTGAATTTGAAATGAATTTTTAAGATCATGTTTAGAACACCTTACCCGGTATGAATTGAGATTTTGATCTTCAACCAATTAAAGATTCTCAACTCCCTCCTTTCTTTTCTTCTTGTTCAATTTTCTTGTTAATCCCTTGCACCCAAGTGTTTATCCCATCCATAAACCCTTAGTCTTGGATAAGTTCTTGAAATTTTAGTATTTCTCTCTTGATTTTGCAAGAATGGATACAAAATTCTCTATTTTCATTCCTTATGGTTCCTATAGATTTTTGGGTGAGGAGAGGGTATTTATACTCTACAATTTCCCTTATTTTCATTTAGGCCCTCTTTTCCTTTAAGTGTATTATTCTCTTTAATTACATCCAATCCTCAACAGTACCGGGTTTGTTATAATGTCTCAAATTATTTCACTCGAAAATTTATATTAAAAAATTTCTAAATTCCTGTTTTTATTTAACCATATGCATAAATTTCTTCACTTTTATTTATTTATTTTTCCAAGGGTTTACAATACACATTAGTACTTGGGAGTGGATTTTTTTTGCCACGATGCCACACATGTGCAATAATATATATGCAAAAAGAAAAGGCTTTATTTGTTGAATTGGTTGTTGTTGGATAGCTAGTTTCGCTAGAGGATTTTAATTTATATGTTTTTCATGGTCTTTGAGGTGAGTTGAAATACTTGGTAACCAGCCTCGTGACCAAGGCAGAACCTCTTTTGTATGCAGATCTTCATAGTCATCTCTTTACTCATAAGCTCTTTCACAGGACCTCCTGTAAAACCTCTCGGCGAAAAATCATAATTTGACTAGTTTCATGTAAAACAAACAAATTCATAACTCTCGATTGGGTTATTATAAAATTCTAAAAATTTACATGGAACCTTCTAATATGATGCCTTAGTTTGGGTTAAAATTTCTAAATGTTTAAGAAAATTCAAAAATTTGATGAAAAATCATAATTTGACTAGTTTTACATTATTGGACATAATTTTCAATCTAACCATCACATTGAGCTAAACTTTTATGAGAAATCTTAAAATATATTGAATAAAATCTGGTTAAAATTTTAGAATGAATGGAGTTCAGTAGTGCTAGAAAAAAAAAAGGATCGTCAAATAGAAGCAAAGACTCATTAAGGGTAAAATGGTTATTTTCCATTAAAAATAAAACAAATCAGCTCCCTTTCTATTATAAGCTGCTGGCTAGGCAGAAACAAAATGTGAAAAGAAAAAAAAAACAAGAGAAGAATGTTAGAAATCAAGAGAAAAATAAGAAAAAGTGAGAGAGAGCTTTGAAACTTGTAAGATTGAAAGACTTGAAACATTAAATTAAAGAAGAATCAAGTGAAGGATGATATAAGAAAGGAGAGGAGGGTTGGTCACACAAGAAGGAGATGGTAAACATGAAAAATTAAGATTCTTAATTGAATGAAGTGTTTTTGAGTTTATTTGAGTAAGTTATCAAACAATGACAATGTCAATTTAATTTAATTTAATTTCATATATTCTTGACGTTTTAAATTAGGGTTCCTATGAGAATTTGGGGATTTTGAGAAAAGTAGTAAACATGATGGAATTGAGGTAGAATAGTATAGAAATAGTAAATGTAAGTAGTAATTAAAAAAGAAATTGAATAAGTTTGAAGAAATAAACTTGTAACAAAGGATGAGGAAATAAACGAATGAGGTTTTGATTGTTTTATATTTGAGAAATGATGTTCTTTATCTTATTTAAAGTATTTAAAATATGAACAAGTGAAGAAACATCATAAGAAAGTCAAAAGAAGAATTAAATAAATGGTAAGAATAGTTCATGGAAGAATTCTTTGAGTTAAAAGAAGAAAATTGATTAAAACTATATGCTGAAAATGAGGAGACAAATGAATGAAATATTTGCTACAAAACCCAATTAAATAAAAGATATTACGTCCTTAAAATTTAGACACGTTGGAGAAATATTAATGGATTAATAATATAGAGTAATTTGATTGATTCATGAGTTTCTCGAGAGCAAGGCATCAAGCAGGAGGAGTTGGGCCATCACGAGAAGATGATAGGTGATTCATCACTTTCTTTTAAAATTCAATTTCATTATTAGTTATGAGTTGTTTATGACATATTGATATGAAAAAAGTAGAAGAAGAAACTTGTTTGTATTGTAATTCATATGTTGGGTAATTTGTATGGAATTACCTTTTAGATTAACTATTGATAGAGAATAGTCGGATGTTGGGTAATTCATATGAAATTACTGGTTAGATTGATGGAGAATAGTTGGATGTGAGGTAATATGTATGGAATTACCAGTTAAATTGGCTATTAATAGAGAATAGCTGGATGTTGGGTAATTCATATAGGATTACCGGTTTGATTGTTGGCTATCAAAGAGGGTTAGCTGGGTTTGAGATAAAACTATGAATTAAAAAAATTAAAAATTAAGCAATGAGTGTTTGTTACAGAGGTGTTATAAGTATAGAGTTAATAAATTATGAATGGGTTATTAATGTTGATATGTAGTAAGTTAGTAATAAAGGACAATTTGATATATTTTGAAGAATTGTGAACATAATAGCTTTATTATTTTTAATGTATTATCTTCCTTATTTTTTATTAATGTTATGTATACAGGTTTTTCACAAGACGATGTGGAGCATTAAATATTGACTTTGTATTTAAATTTGTTTATTTTGTGGGATGTAATATTTTTTTCTTTATATGTAATTTGTATTATATGTAGATTTTAATATATGTATCCTACATATATTTGCTTTTGGTATTTATACATTTAGAAAGTATGACTATGGAACTATCAACACCTCCTGTGGTCACAATCAATCCTTCCGATTCAATCATCCACATCGTTGTCATGCCCCCCATCCTACATGAGGGTGCATCAAAGTTCACATTTAGATAAGAGCCTTCACGGATGACACCATCGTTGGATTTTATAGCAGGTGAAAATGTTATTGGGAGGCTGTCGTTCAAAGTGGAAAGTATAACATCTGAATTGCATATGATCTTGCTGGTCAGTGACCGCAAGAGTTGTTGTATTGTCAGTCGAGGGGGCTACGATTAAATAACGAGCACCAGCTTGCACCTCATTACCGAATACATCGAGCACTGCTGCAGCATCTTTGGCATGAACGGCCTCGGGAAATGAAGTTGCTGCGAGGGCAAAGAGAAGGAAGGAGAACCCTAGAAATTCAGTGATCTCCATATTTTTTGAATACGAGTATTAGTTATCTCAATATTGTGTCTTATTGATCTTTTGTTGAAACAACGCATGGAGAGCATATATTTATATGGAGCAAGCATTTTAATTATTTGTTACAATTAATTAAAAAATTCCACAAAAATATAAATTATAGTGTTTTACTCGTGCCGACCTTCGACAAAACTACAAATTATAGTCCTTTAGCAAAGAGTTGTCGTGTAGGATTTGAGCTC